GGTTCCTTCCCTCCCAGAACCCAGTCTAGTATGACAAAGGGAGGCACAGGCAAACATTTGCAGGAGGATGATTATAGTCATACATTCAAATTTCAGAGATGGTAAACATGAGAGAGATCAACTACGACTCAGGTGAGGGATACAAGATGAACTAGAGAGCATATAGTATAGACGCATCAGTGCTGGCAAGCTGTGTGAAAGCCAAGGAATCAGAATAGCAGGATGGTAGTTATTCCAGGTGAAGTAAAAACCAAATGTTAGGGCTACATAGAAAAAACAGGTCATAGATGTATTGGACATAGATCCCGAAGTTGCCCATGTTAGAGGGGCAAGGAGCTCCTGGGTCAATCATTTTTGTCAGGAATGGAGATGAAACTGGAAGTATGGACTCATTTGCAAGGGAAATAAGAGAATCAACCATGAAAAAAAGCAGTCTGACCTCATCTACCACCTTCTGACTTATCTGCAGGGACAATTAAACCCCTATGTAAAGGAAAATATTTTCTTACAAGTACCTGCTACCATAAAGAAACCAAATAAATAGTCAATTTATTAATTTCTTAAAAAAAAACAATTAAAGATTCCTTAAACATTAGAATGTTCTTTTTTTCCTTTTTAGATAAAATATTTACATTGTACATCATTCTTTTCAACATTCTTTTTTTCTATTTTATTTAAGAATTCATTTTTGCTATGGTTATAACTATTGCTTCCTACTAAACTGCCAATTTTCAGTATAGAAATACATTAATTCACAAAGCACTTTCAGAAATATTTAAATCTTTCACTGGCAAAGTGAGCATGTTTATGTGCCCATGACCCTTTGTGGGGATCAGACACCAGACTAATGCCTGAACACTGTGAGTCAAGTAGATAATGTTCTAATCAAAGAATAAACTAATTTTAAACAATTTAGGAGGTATAATATAGGGATTCTTAGTTTGTCACAGTATTATTTTTAATTATTCAATACTGTTCAAGTAATTTATCATATTCAAAATGCCTTGACATGCCACCCTTCTTCATAAAGTAACCCATTTCCAGTTATTTCCTATATCCGTCAAAGTACCATGACTCAGGCTTTGACAGAGCATTGTACATTTTAGATTAATTCTAGTTTTAAGGAAGTTTCAGAGAAGAAATTTTATAGTCTGTCAGGATTCTTTCTACATTTAATAATATTCATTGTCAGAAAAATTTTCCTTATATTGAACCTAATTTAGTGGAAATAAAGAGCCTTTCATAATCATAAAGAACCCACAAGCTATAATGACAGCTATTATTTATCGAGGACTTACTTTGTGCCATGTACTGTGATAAAAGTGCATTTATACATTAACGTATTCCATCTTCATACCGTGATTAAAAAGCGAGTATTCTTATTGTCCTTACTTCACAGAAGAAACTGAAGCTTAGAGAGGTGAAGCCTTGCTCAGGAGCTCACAAATGGTAAATGACAAAGCTGGGACTCAGTTGAGGTCTTTCCTATTCTTAATTATGAGAAACTTAACTGCCTCCCAAGAGGTGTCTCTTAGCATTGTCTTTATGGCTCCTAACCCTTCTCAGTATTTTCCAAATCTACCTTACCAGAAAATATAGATTAAAGTTTCTAATAATGGACCCTCTCAATATTTCCAAATCTACTTTACCAGAAAACACAGATTAAGCTTCCTAATAAGGATTATTTTATGAGTCTTAATTTCTAGATTTCTACTTTAGAATCTTAATTCTATTAATTGCTTAGTACTAGTGTTCCGTTACTGAATCATGGATAATAAGCACCATAACATCTAGATCATTTCCAAGAACACAAGCTAATACTAGGATGCTTGGTAGTAAATAGAACAGATGTAATTGCTTCTTTATACTTACTAGGTTATTTTTTTAAATGTAATTAAACATGATATTCATATGCATAACTGTGTAATAATCACCACCTTAGAATAAGAACCAGATTCATTTTTCTCTCCCTCAAACCAGCTGAATTTGGTTTAGTATAATTATTTAAATTTTATCAAGAAATACATATGTCAGGACGAATATGACATTATAAAACAAAAAAGGAGAAAAAAACAGAAGGTTGACATTCTATCAACTAAATATCTTTCATGATAAATAAATAATTAAAACAAAATTAATTATTTTTTTTAAACTATGTTTCACTTCACTGGCTTTTTCGTTAGACCATCTGCAATAATACGGCTTCTGGACTGAAGAAATTGAACCTTGTTCATAACTGTGTATGTTCCATCACATGCATTCTGAGTTCATCAATATCTCTAATTTTTACTGCCTCCACCACTCTCTCACATACACTTGGCTGTTAAAATTACAACAAATATAGGTGAGGATCATTATACTCATGAATATACCAAAAGATACCTAATATAAGGAATTTTGGCTCACTTCAAATAATCTTTTATCAGTGTGGCACTGAAACACCGGGTATAATTTTATGTGGTTAACTCATCACACAAATTTTTGTCAACTCACAGTTTAGCCAATGGCCTTCTAAGGAGGGACATATGCTTCAGTAAAGGAAGGAGGGAGACCTTACAAGAATGATCTTATGATCTTCCTCTTACATTATCTCTCAGAAAAAACTCTTTAACCTCTCCCTCACCACCACCACCAGTCCAATTCAAGTCGAAACAACAGACCAGTGTTCCGAGCTTTATTAATTATTCCAAAGGACAGCAAACAAGGAGGAAAACTTTTCCGGAACAAGGTCATCCTAAACATACTGAATATCTTCCAGATTTGTCAAGTTCCTTCTATGAAACAAATAAAAGCCTTGCTTACTCTGCTGACACAAATTTCAGCTAGTATTTGAATTAGCACTTATACTGATTCTTTTATCTTTCTCTTGTAACTATTGTGTGCTACCTCAAAAAGGTTCCAATTCTGTTGCTTTGCTATAAATTCTCCATAACTAACGTTATGCTATATGACACATTACAAGTTTTCAGTCATCAAAAATGTGGAACATTTGTCCCAAGTAACTGCATAGAACACAGTTGGGTTACACTGGGGCAGAGACTGATTTTACGAATAACAGTTGCCATAGAAGTGATGTTTATGGAGGTGGAAAAGGACTCTTGTATGACTTGTAAATCCTTCTTGTTGTGGTGTATGTGCATACCCTCAGACCTGCTCTTCTGAAAGAGCCCGATTCTCCTCATACATTAGCTACAATACTCTGAACAGGCTGTGGGGAGCCAGCTCTCAACGGGTTGAGTGTGGCTAGGGATCCCTGGGAGAACTTATACCACTAGATCTATCAAAAATTACCTCAAACAGTATTTGTAGAAGGCAGAGAATTTCTAGGACTTCTGCAGAAGCAGGAAGTCCTTTGGGCTTAAAAGAAATTAGGGAGTCTGTAGCCCCAGAGAGTTAGGTTTTGGTAGCTCCATCAGGATAAGAACACACACACAGAGGGGCCCTCAGGCTCTCCATCTGGTGGCATTGTAAGTACATGAGTCTGTCTTTCCATCAAGGAGACTGGCTTGCGATGATTATTCATATTTGGATCAGGCCATGGATTTGTACCTGAAAGCCACCATTTCGATTATATTTGGTAAAACTCTTTTAGGTAATCAGAACTTACATATACTTTTTTGAAAACTACTTCTGGCTCAGTTCTAGTATTAACAGCATTTCAGAAATTTGTATAACTTTCACTGATAGCTATTATTAAAACAATAGTGATAAAACAAATTCCACATTACAGAGTTTGGATACAAATTTCCATCTTACTGAAATAGCAATTGCCAAATTTATTTCCTAGAACCAGATTCTTCTACCAACCATCTCCTATTAAATTAAACTTAAAATAAATGAAGGAGAAAAGCTATATATCACAGCTTGGATTTTACATATGTTTTCCCTTTATACCTATACAAAAAATGGAAATTGTTAGTATCTGAAGTTCTAGTTTAGAAAATACATTTATTAGTTTTAAATGATAGTTATAAGATGCTATAGAACTACACTTAAGCAGCTTTCTTGTAAGCAGACCTTTTGATTCAAATTTAGTCAAGACAGGAAAATATAAGCTGTTTATTTTCTAGCTTTCAGTCTCTGAGATTGTTTATTCAATTCATAAAATCATAGAATCATAGAATTTTAATGTTGGAAGAGACTACGGACATTATCTAATTCAACCTGCTTATTTTACAGATAAGAAAATTGGGATTTTTTTTTTTTTTTTAGTATAACTCAATTCAATACTTCTATTTAAATAGGCTTCTAAGACACCTGTTGATACAAATGAAACTCCATTTCAAAAGCCACAGAAACTTCTATTCCATATGTCTTATAATAAAACTTCACTGTGCCTCTTACATAATGTTGCTACTATTAAACATCTTTAAGAATCTCTAACTCATGCTGAATGAGAAATGATAGTCCAAAATCAGACTCTAAGCATCTTTAAAGCATGGCTTATAGCTTACCTGGTTTCACATTCCTAACTAGCAGCATACCTATCACATGGTAGGTGGTTTTTAAATGTGTATATTAGATGAATGAATGATTGCTCTGAATATTAGTGTAGCAGAGTAAACAGGAGAAGTGAAACATGAAAACCACTTTTGCTCTAGCTTACATAATTTAGTTGTGCTTTGGGGTATTTATCAGCATTCGGATTCACAGTGGTATGTCATCACAGGATTTTACCTGACTTTCTCACAATAGGTACCACCCTTACAGTTTTCTATTCTTAATGCTCTAAAAGTGTATTGGAAATAGTCCAATAGCAGCACGACCGAAGGAAAATCTGCTATTAACTAAAGACATTTCTAACCTGCATAACCATTTACATACTCCTCCTTCTCTTTCCACTTTAAGCTTATTTCACCACAGAATCATACGGTCATTTAAACTAAATGTTGCTGTTTGGAATCCAAACAAGCATGAAGACTGGCTTTATTCTGACATGCTCCCAGTCTTTCCTCAGTTTTCTTACTTCAAATGAAACTAGAGAAATGTAAACATCTTACCATCCAGATGGCCCACATAACAATATACGTCATAAGTTTCATGAGGAGAACGGAATCCGTAGGTCCTGACTCCTTCCTTCCCCATCATATCTCCATAACAGCCTTCTCGAGGAGTCCGGATGGGATATCTGGGGAAATAAAGAACTAGTACTAAGCACTGTATTCTCACTCCCAGATTAATGAATTAAAGCCTGTGGCCCCCAGACATCTCACCTAACGGTCTGATCAGACAGCCAGCCTGCATCACACTGCTCAAATCCATCTTCATAGGCGGCATTGAGCTGCTCTGGGCTTGCTATGACTGCCCCAATATCCAAACAAGCCTTCTGTGCAGTCTCAAAATTCAGAGTGTACCTGCTGGTCGATGCCCTGTAGTGAAACACAACACCTGCGAAGACAGCAAACAATGACAGGCATGTTCAAATCTCCTACCATACCGTGCATAGTTTCTCACTGGAGCTATACATCAAATTAATTGCTGATGTGATAATCACATCATGATAATTCTTGTTTTTACTTTATATAGCATTACACAAAATTATGGTGATCTGAGGAGCCCCAGAAATGCCATTCACTCAGGTGTCCCATTCTGCTCCATTAGAAAGTTTCCTAGCCACAAACTTTCTGTTCACATGTAAACAGTCTAAGAAAGAGATTTAAGCCACTAAATCCTAAAAGGTAGATAGTTGTATTACAGGTAGTATTCAGGCTATCATGGCAACACTGGACAAATAAAGCGAGTAGGTGTTGCAGGAGATACAAATATTTAACAGGGCCACAAGATCAACTTCTCTTCTACTTCATGATTTTTACCCTGAACCAACTCAAAAGAAGCATATGGAACATTCATAAATACTACTTCCACAAAACATGAAACATGAGCTATTTACTTCCAGAGACAATACGCTAAGATGAAAAAAAAACACTGGACTATGTATGAGATGGCTTGTTCTAATCCCTGATTTGTTCCTTAACCATATACTGAGCCTTAATTTCCTTCCCCATAAAGTGTAACTAATACTATTTATTTTATTTGACTGATATGACAATCAAATTAGGTAAAGTATTTTAAAATGTTGGATAGGCTACTAAGTACTACTCAGATGTTTATCATATTCACTATCTGACCAGCATAACTTAGGGTCTCCCCTGTGACAAATAAAATGTAGGACTTCTATCCCGAAGAAGTCCTGAAGTGAAGTTCTCCAGACTCAGTGGGTAAAAGTCAGGCATCTCGATAGTTGCCTCAAGTTCCACTTCATTGTATTTTAGGAGTTGATAAATTAACTAGTAGTTCTTGAACTATGCTCTAGAGCTCAAAGAATTGTCAAAGGGCTGAAGAAAGAGCAGCTGAGGGGATGAAGCTTTGGGTTCCCTTCCTGCCACTTTAACAACAGTATCTGCATTTTAAACTGGAGTAAATACAGTGACTCATTTCCGTAAGTCTGCAAAGTGGGTCAAGCTAATGTGCCTGGCAAGTCACTGGAAAATAGAAATTGGGGCAATTGGATCTTATGTATGAAATTTGATTGAGTCATATCATTTTTAAGACCACTTTTTTTTTTTTTTAATGAAGACCGAATTTTGTTTTCCAAAATATCTTCCACTCTCTTTTTATTCCTAATATTTTCCTGGGGTAGACAACAGTCTGTCCTTCACAGACTGACTTCTAGCTGTAAGACTCTCCCACATGCCCATTCTTACTTAGACTGTCTCTCTTTTCCAAGACAGATATGTGCCAATAGAGCAACTATGGAGGAACAGACTAGCCATATCATGGATAAGCACCTCTGAGTAGGGTCAACACAAAAAGACCTGCCCAGGCACCAAGTAGATGTATTGACAAATAACATTTGTTTTCTTGTTTCTGATATTGCCAAAAGAAGGAGGAGGAGGAGGAAGAGGAGGAGAAGAAAGATGAAAGAAAGAATACCTCGAGGAGGAGGAGGAGGAGGAGGAGGAGGAGAAAAAAGATAGAAAGAAAGAATACCTTTCAGAAAATTTGTACCTTATAGAACTACTCTATAATCGCCAAGAAGTGTATATGTGGTATTTGGTAAGTATAGTAATCTCTAAGGCTTAAGCAACAATTTGAATGGTTTTAAATTAGTCTTATGTTAATTGAAGCTTCAAATAGTCTTCTTGGTAATTAAAAATCTTCCATGTGCAGGGAAGACTGGCAGTAAGAGGGCACAAAGGGGCCTCCCTGACCAAGGCAGGGAATATCAGTCTGTACAAGTATCTGCGATTGTTGGGATAATTTGAAGACCTCATGGGGCTAAGGAGATTAAGCAGAGGATTTTCATTGTTTCAGAGGGGCAAAGGGCAAATCCATTGCTAATTCTTTAATGACGAAAATTGTAAAAAGTTTTTAAACTCCTTTAGGAATTTTAAATATATACATTTAATATATTTCTCTTTACATATTATATATTTTTATATAAAATTTATATAGTATGTATCTAACTCTACTATATCTATCTATCTATCTATCTATCTGTCTGTCTGTCTGTCTATCTATCTATCTATAGAAATATCAGTAGAACAAAAAACAATTCTAGGCTAACTAAAATAAATGATACAAAAGTTAAAAGAGCGAAGAGCCCAGGATATTTAGTGGATGCCTAGACAACATAAAGACAGATTTATGGAAGAGAGCAGTGGAATCTGAATGCAAAAGGATATCCAGAAAATTAATTTGTTGCATCTAAAATTCAAAGTATTTCCTTTTGGCTACACAAGAAAGAGTTTCAATAAAGCCCTTTGTATATATTTCTGAAAGGTAAATATTTTGTAGGGGAATGGGGAAATGGAAGGTTGGAAGAAAAATTTGTTCCATCATGTTTGGGTATTATAATTTTGCTTAATAACTTGCCAAAATATTCTGCTTCCAAGAGCTATGGCATTATGTGTGTACCCAATTAAAACAATTTTTCTTTGCTTTGTCTCCTAACTTAAATTCAAATGACATATAAACCACCAGTAAATGGAGGCTGAAACTAAAATGTTTCATTACTAGACTTAATTGATAACAACTAGTGTATTAACCTGTAAGAAAATTTGCTGAGTTCTTGTCTTCATCCATTTCAAATGTTTATCGAGCCCTGCCTGGCCTTTTTAAAACCTGTGATGTATGCCATGGTACTTATTAAGTGCCTTATTTCTTTGATGTAAGTTAAGCTAGAATTTATATTTCTTAAAAGTAAACTTGAAGATTGTAATAATCACACAAGGAAAGTGAAAATAAAGGAAAGGGGCTTTTATGTGTGTATATACGTGTATGTATGTATATGTGCATACACACATATCAAAATAAAAACAAAATGTAGATTAGTTTTTACAGTCTTGAAAATTCTTGATAGGTCTCAATAATGAAGTAATAATTCTTGAACTATGTACCACGTCTTCAGGTATTCATTATTTCCAGTATACAAACTATACTTTACTGCATTAAATCAATGAAATTGCTGCACAAGAAGTCACCTTCCTTGACCCTGAAAAAATAACAATTTATTTTCGGTGATAAATATGGATAGTTGGGAATGACTGATGTTTTTCCACTTGTTCAAATCCTGAACAATAGTTACTTTTAAGTACTGTTTCACAGCACTTCTGAACCATGTATCACATTATACTACCTTTTTACAGATTCCAAAAGCCTTACCGTCCACGGTCAGTGACACCGTGCTCTGCGTGTCTTCAATCCCGTACATGACGTCGCAGCGGTAGAGGCCCGCGTCACTTGCCAACAATTTGACCATGGTGAGTGACGCATCACCCACGTCCTCAGGATGTGTAGGCACGGACACTCTCCCTTTGTAGCCCTGACCAATCTTAATATTCCCATTTTGGGCCACGAGAACAGTAGTCTCCTTTAAATCTTTTCCATTCTTGTCCAATTCAATCTTAGACCACTTGATTCGGAGAAATTCGCTGGTGGTATTATAACTGGGTGGTAAGGTAGGCATGGTTGAAAACTGACAAGGAAGGTTGACTTTTCCAGAAAGGGATCCCTTAACAGATGGGTTTTTTCCCACTTTGACTGGAAGAAAGAGAAAATTCCAAATTAACAGTCCTAAAAAACACAAATTGAGTCTATTAAATACACGAATGAATAAGAAACCCTTACAGGAGTTTGTTACATCTTCAATATGTGAAATAATGAGAATGATTTTATATACAGAGAAAAGAATACAATTTCAATGACCTTTTTATAATAAAGACAGGGATTAATAATGCTCATTTTAGGTACCAGAAATTTGATGTTCATTGTAACTCAGTGTTTAACATAAGCAAAGTAAGTGATAAAATAAGGCACCTATAGGAAGGCAAGCAATCAAGGGCAAAAGGAGACTAGAATCAGCAATGCAGGTTTAAAGGACTGGACCAATATTAGAAAGAGTAGTTGAGAGGTGAATTTATGTCTACAAGTCAAGATGAAAAATGTTTGTTAAGATAACTGCCACATTACCTTAGAGGAAATGAAAATAAAATTCAAAGAGGAAGTGAAAATTAAAAAAAAAAAGTACTTCAATAGACTGGAGCAGGGGTAAGTCTAACACTTGAAGGAAACTTCTTTGCTTCAGTGTTTGAATCAAAGGCTTTCATCATAATGACAAATCCAGCTGCAATCACTTTGCAGTGAAACATAACCTCTAGATTATATCCTGGGGGGGAAAGTTGGCATCTGTTCACCTAACCCACCTAAAGTATTAGACTTTAGAATGTCTTTCTGCTTAAGCCCTTAAACTTTTAATGAGAAAGAATACAATTTAACACTATTATATGCACAAGAAATGTTCTTTCATTCTTACAGGAATCCACATGCCTCCCTCCCCCACCCCATCTTCCAGTGTCTGTCTATTCATTGGCTAGACAATGTTTTGGTAACAACAATAACAAGAAAATACACAAGCAACTTCCACTTCATAAAAATATGATGAATAAGTTAATAGTAGCTTCTACATGAAGTGAAATAATGATTTTTAATTAACAGAATGATGTTAACGCTTAGTGTGTTAGTGGTCAAAGGTGTTGGTAATATATATGCATCAGAAATGATATAGATGTCAAGATAGCCCTGTGGGTTCAATTGGGGATAAGTCATTTTGAAACTGCAGAAAGATATGGAGATATTATGTTCTTTAAGAAAAGAATATTCTCTATAACTAAAGATTAAAATTTAACTTTAAAAAGACTGGCATATAAAATCTTTCATGTAATATAAATGTATCTAAAATAATTAATACAGTATTATATTAACTGTATTTATGACAGTAATCACTAATCATTCCAAGTTTATAATGGTCATTGCTGTAATGAATTTCTTCATTTTAGTAATCTATGTACAGCTTTCTAAAACGAGATTTAAGGCATTTAACAAGATTAAATAAAAATGAAGTGTGCTATTAGCTGCACTAAGTTAATCTTTAAAATGTTACTAAAACAATTAGCACCTTGGAATATAACAGCAAGGGAATAATTTGATTTTTAATGGCCTCCTTGTCTTACAAAATAAATTCTCTTACTTAAAGCTCATCTTCCAAGTGAAACTGGTCCACTCCCTTACTAAGGATGCTCTGCTAAGAGGAAATGACACTCAAGCTCGCAGCTGGCTGGTGACAGACCTGGGCCAGAACACTTGTCTCCTTGCACCTAATCAAGGAATCTTTCAGCTTTGGTATTTATTGAGTTCTTCTCCTGTCCCTAAATTAGTTTTAGCTCCTTTCTAAAGTCTATACCTATTCTATTTATATCCCCTTCTATTTCTTTAATTGCTATCTGAATTGAAATCGTTAGTAATTTAATGATCTTTTAAATAAATCTACACAGTCCACAGGGGGCACCCAGAGAGTAACCCTTCATAATCCTTTAATTTAGACCCCATTAGGGAAATGATGAAAAAACAATTTTGGGGAGCAGTGGGGGGCAAGAATAAGGATCCTGAGAAGGGAAGGGGTGAAAATTCTATGATTTAAAAATCTCCTAATTTACATTCATCATATGTTCTAGAAAATCTCATTTTCCTTCCTGAAAAATTATTTAGATGATTGACTTCACCAAAAAAAAATGTTGATTTTTTTTTTAACGGAAAATAAACAACTTTATCATCAACCTCAATGAGATCCTTTACCATCTCTTAAAAATGCATTTAAGATCAATGACTTCCAATTCCTTAATATTTACTACTAAATTATAGTTCTTTTCACAATTTTAGATGTGTAGGGGCAGATATGAGATTCAGCCCAATCTATCTAACTGGGAGGTTTCAGAAATTTAGAGCATTGCTCAATAACCATGCTCTAATGAGAAGATATAATAGAACAAAATGATGTCAAAATGTAAATTTCCCAAGTTTATATATTGTTCTAGATGTTCACAGATATAAGAAAATTTAAAGCTTTGGTTGGATATATATATATTCATGTAGAATCCAGGATTAACAAAAAGCTCTGTGGTAAGGTCTTTGGTGTATGAAATCTTGGGCCTTAATGCACTGGGTCACAAGAACTAAGTTCACAAAATCTAAATATTTTAAGAAAGAAATTTTGTAGTTCAGAGGATAATCTTTATAGACTATGCTTGTTAAAAAAAAACAACAACAACAACTGCAAGAACTTGTCTGAAACTCTGACAATACAACTAATAAAAATGAATGCTAACAAAAAGTTCACCATTCCCATCATATGGCTTGTGGTCTAAACGAGTACAATAAGGGAGAAATCACTAAAAACGAATTATTACCTTTCATTCTCTGTCACTAAAGTCTACAGAGCAAGGATGGTATAAATTCCATCTATATAATTTGATCAAATACACACACATACACACACACATACACACAGACGTTGGCCAAATATATATCAGATTGAGAGTATGAGAATTACCACTCTATCAGGTAATAAATATCACTCTCTTGTTCATTTTTTTTACTCATGACTGTGAATGAATCCATTTATTAATATTAGAGAAATAGACAAATAACTAGGTCAATGAGAGATAATATACTGGGTATTATTAAAGCAAAGAGCTCTCTGTGCATTAAAATAAAGCTATTAATCAGTAGACAATTGTTCATTAATGTTATTTATTGACCTTTTGAGTGCCTAAGAATAAACAGAGAAAACCTTAAGATGAAAAGTAGTTGTGTTGACTCACAACAAGAAACTGCTGTATATTCCCCTATGAACTTAGCAAATCTGTATTAAGTGATTTTTGTTTTCAACTTTTGCCCCTCATATGAAAAAATTAAATTCTTCTGAAATTAGCCACAACCAATTACATTTCTTAATCGTGATCATAGGTTATAAAGAACTTGATTCTTGGAATAAAGTATAATACAGTGGTTAAGAACATGGACTATGGAGCCCAGCTGCCTGGGTTCAACTCCAGGCTCCATCACTAAATTGTTGTATAACCTGCTACATTAGCTATGCATCCAAACCTTTGCTATTGCAGTTTTCTCATCTGCCAAATGGGGGGAATAAAAGCATCTGTCTCATTGGAGAGTTAAGATAAAAGAAATGAACTATGCAAAATACTTAGAACAAGGCCTAATGCATAGAAATTACTCAATATTTTTAGCTATTATTACTATTTTAAAATACTGCCAATGCACAACACCATAAACATGTTTTTTTCTTTCATTTTTTTATGTGAGTTCTTTCTCTGTTATGAGTAGAAAATCTAAACTTTGTTTTAAGTGGAGGGATAGTTGCTCTATCCTTCAAGTTTCTCCTATTACTTTCTCTGCAACTCCCTTTCTATTACTACCCACCCAAACCAACTCCCTTTTCTCTATCTCTTTTCTATGTCCCTCTTCTTCACTGGACACTGTTATTCTTTCCTCTCTGTTTTACTTTTACTTTTCCTTCACTTTTACTTACTATAAATGCTGATGAAGACAGCTCCTGGGCTGTTAACAGATTGCTGAAGCCTAGACTCTGATAGCCATCTAGGTCATTCACATCTCAGTTTAATTGTTCTTTCTGAAGAAGCCTTACCACTTTGCCCCAGCCCAGGCCATTTTCTATGATATCACTTTGCTTTATTTTCACCAGTCTGAAAGTACCTGCATTGTTTACTTGTTTATTGCCTGTCTCATATAACTAATGAAATCCAGGACAATGGATTTCCGGTATATCCTGGTATATATTTTGTATATCTAGAATAAATCCTGGCGTATAGAAGGTACTCAAACAATATTGTCAATGAATAAATGAATGGGTGGGGCGGGAGGAGTGTGGATGGATGAATGAATAGGTGAATGGATGAATGAATAGGTGGATGAATAGACGGAGTGATATTCAAACTTTGAGTCTTGAAGAATGAGTTGAAGTAGAACTGTAAAGAACAAGAGAAGGAACTACCAAGCAGAAAAAGTTACATGTAAAAAAACAGGGAATATGAAAGTCTGTGCATGGAATTGCAAATTATTTCAGAGAGTCTGAAGCACAGAGTGAGTGTGAGAAAAGAAGTAGAAGCTGACACTGGAGAGGCACACTAGATAGGAGTAGATCACTGAAGCTCAGGACAGTATTGCTCTTCATGGAACATAGTTCACAACTTTGGAATTATAAAACATTCATTCAGCGGACATACAGTTTAAAACTAAGAAAAACAGTGCATGTGAGCATACCCAGTTACTTTAAAAGAGAGAGGAAAAAAGGTGGTATGCACAAAAACTTGGCTGTCAGTCTTCTATTTATCTTCTTGACTTTTCTCAATATCTAGCCTCTCAAGGTGTGATAGTCTTTCTTTTTTATAGGAAAGTCTTTGAGTAGTATTGAAGAAAATAGAAAATATGCCCACTGACATATACGGTAGGCCCTCTATATCCATAGATTCTGCATCCTCAAATTGAATCAACACCAGATTGAAAAAATTATTTTTAAATGTTATGTGGTTGCTAATGTGTACTTTGTAGTTAAGCCTATGATGGTTGCATCTATACTGAATGTGTACACTTTTTTTTCTTTGTCATTATTCCTTAAACAATACATTATAACAACTATTTATATAGCATTTACATTATGTTAGGCATTTTAAGTAATCTACAGATGATTTAAAGTAAACGGGAGGATGTGCAGAAGTTACATGCAAATATTATACCATTTTACATATGAGATTTAAGCATCTGTAGATTTTGGTATCCATCGGGATTCCTGGAACAAATCCTCCATCTATACGAAGGGAGGATTCCCCAGTGGATATCAAGGGAAAACTATATGAGCCTTTTTGCTTAGTTTGAAAGTAATCTGGGAAGTTACTGAAAGCCTGCTTGCTTCTTTAGCATCCTGTTCTTTATTTTGTTTTGATTGACTTTTTAATGCCACTGTTTTAAGCCTAATAACATTTTAGCTAAAAGTTTTCAGCACTGAATAGATCAAAAATTAATCCCTAATTCTAATGATTCCATATTGCCATTCCCTGTCCCAGTAAGTAAAATTTTATTTCACTTAGCACCAAAGAATTGTTACCACACTCACCTTTATGTAGTGCATGGGTTACTATTAAGGTAGAGCACATCCATAAGATGCTCTTTATGTTAATCAACATCTTGTCCTAGAAATGAAGAAAAATATAAAGTAAATCATAAGCATTCAGATTTGTGGTGAGCCATAAATCACGTTATTTGTACATTGAGTACAAGAGTACAAGAAACAGCTCCTCTTGGTTTGTAAAAACAGGAAGGAACTTGCAATATAAGCTGTCTCAACACTTAAATTATTAGTTTGACTCTCACCCAATGATTATTTAGTTACCAAAATAATCTCAAAACACAATTTGGGGACATATAACAATATGGACGTGTGGGACAACCACAGCTGGATAGGCTGAAGAAAAAACAATGAAGACCACAGCCTAAGTAACTAGTGGCTAGGAGCTGGCACAATGAGAGAGGGGTGACCACAAAGTCTATTTAGAAATGGGAAGTTGGTCATAGATGGAGTAAGAGAAGATAGGAACGCAATAGGGAGAGATGTTGAAAGAAAAGGATTCGCATCAAATGTGAGGTGGGGAGGAACTCATTGGTGATTCATGCACATGGTATCAAAACAGAGAATATGGACTTCAGCAGGGTTTTTAGAGCACAGACTCAATTTAGCTTCTAGAAGGCTGAACAAACAAAATAAATGTATTATAAGGAACTGTTAACTATAAAAAAAGGACCAATGCTTGCCATGAGTTTTAAAGTCGTTCCAACAGTTCTAAAGGGTAAAGAATGAAAGAAAACACTCTGTTCTGAGAATCTAGAAAACCTACCATGGCTTTACCATTAATTATTTGTGACTTGGGGAAGATGTTTAACAATCTGGGACTCAGAATGGTTCCTTCCAGCTTGAATTTCTATGAAGCTGTAATTATGAGGAGGATAAATACCAGTGTTGGGGACCATCTAGAAACCAGAGACAATCTCAGAAGAACTGCAAAAGAGTATTTGATCATCATAGTTGTTCCCTTCTCAGCTACATTTAGAACTATTCTATAATAGCCTTTTTTGTTTGGCTACATGTAGCCATCCCTCTTTCTCCTTTCCAACAAAACTCTGATTCCATTCTAGTATCTACCCTCCTTCAAACAGCTATATACTTTAGAGAAGCCTGAGTAAACTCCATCCCACGGGGTGGTCATTATTCTTAACATATTCCATTCCTTTCGCCAATAGTCGATTTTGAAATAAATAGATGATGCAATTATGGCCAATGAGATGTGACGGGTTCTATGTGGGAGTTAAAGAGGATGCTCCCAAGACTGGTATATTCATCTTAAGAAGAGAAAAAAGGAAGAGATGGTTGCTTTCCTTCACTGCACTTTGTCATGATAGGATATTTCTTCTCAAACCGTTATAACTGTCTTGCATCCATGAGTTTCTAAGATAGCCTCTGAGGATGAAGCTGAGAAAGAATCAGGAGAAACAGCTTAAGCCCTTGAGTGTTAGGTCTAGAGAGGGCCATACCTTGGAACTTCTTTTTATATGAGATAATAAATTCCTTTATTATTTAAACCCAATAAAATCAGGGCTTTTTGTTACTTGTAGTTGAAGGCATCTTAACTGTCACGTATTTGAGTCAGTGCCCTAAATAACTTCCTAACACTTTCCTTAGAAATACCTAAATTCTGTATTAAGGAAACCAAGATTGAAAAGAACTAAATGCTATAAGAATCCAAGTCCAATTTGCACTCGAGTTCAATCTCATAATTTATGACAGCTATTTTCTTTTCCTTGATATTTTCTCCATTTGATTGCTTTATTATATACATCTTAAAGTAAGTGTTAGAATATCTCTAAAACAAAGTTATAAAATTCTAGATATTTCCTAAAGAGCATTTTTTAACCTAATACATTACATATCTATTTTCCATCTGTAGGCCATTTGACAGCTCACAATAAAAAGCATACAGGTGATAATCATAAATTAACCTTGACAATTTAGTTTATTATTTATTATGTAATTACTGGAATATGCTAATAAATGTTATTAGATACTAACTGGGAAATTAGATTTCCACATTTCTGGATTTCTTATACCACAGCAAGCAGGAAGTATAAACCTATATCTCAATGTCATTACAATATTTCAGGGAAAAATAAAGATATAAATTTAACATGCTCTATAGTTTCCAAATAAAATAAAATTTTAGCTTGTATCATAAATGCTATTAAATAAAACACATTCATGAGTTTTAACTGAATCCAAATAAGAAACTTTTCTATAATATATTTATAAACAATAATTTCCTATCATCCTTAAAGAAAAATTGTTCTCAATTTTTTTTTTCTGTAAACATTTATAAGTATAATGTTAAGTCTGTCAAATAGGCCTGAATTCAAGTTCTTAATTCCCTACTGATAGTCTGTGATATTAGGTAAGTTACTAACTCTCTCATCCAGGAACTATTTAACTGTGAAAAGTAGTACTTAATTATTGAAGTAATTGTGAGAATTGATGAAATAATGCATATGACATATAGGTTAGTGATATACAGGAAATTTTGATTTTTTTAAATTTAGCTTCAATACATTGGTTAGACATCTATATAGTTCATAAAACGATCCTCCCAATTGCACTCTCCCTCCCCTGACCCTCCACCTAGCCAATGTATTAATGCTAATTGTATTCCTTACGCTGTGCCTCCCAGCCCCATGACCATCCATCGGCTACTAATTTGTACTTCTTTAACCCTTCACCACCCCCCAAACCCCCCTCCCCTCTGTCCATCACCAAATTGCCCACTATATTTGTGAGTCTGTTTTTGATTAGTTTGTTCTTTTTATTCCTTAAATTCCACATATAAGTAAAATCATATAGGGTTTATCATTCTCTGTCTAACTTAAATATCTTCTAGGTTCATCACAGCAATATCTTTTTCCATTCCCTTCCTTTTCATATGTAGGGGTCTTGTTTTCTTATCCTTTCAGCCACTCCATCCCTTGGTTGGAGCACTTAATTCTTTTCCATTTAAGGTACTTATTGATAGGAATGTAGTTGTTACCATTCTTTATTCCTGTTTTTGATACATGTTTTTTCTTCTTAAAGAAGTCCCTCCAACATTTCCTGTAATACGAGCTTGGTGGTGAAAAATTCCTTCAGCTTATTTTTGTCTGGAAAGCTCTTTATCTGTCCTTCAACTCTGAGTGATAGCTTTGCTGGATAAATTATTCTTGGTTGTAGATCCTGGGTCTTCATCCTGTTGAATATTTTCTGCCAAGCCCTTCTGTCTTGCATAGGTTTTTTGAGAAATCAGCAGCCAGTCTTATGGGTTTTCCCTTACATGTAATTATTTGTTTTTCTCTTGCTGCTTTTAATATCCTTTCTTTGTATTTAACTTTTGGCATTTTAATTATGATGTGTCTTTGTGTAGGCCTCTTTGGATCCCCAATTTTTGGAATTCTCTGAGAGGGATTCAGCTGCAGACCAAACTTAGCCTCTCCGGGGCCACTTGTTAAGATTCAGCAAGCAATTCACAGATGCTGTGTTTATAGTTGCCTCAAAAGGCCACACTAGAAACCAAGGCCAGCTGCCTCCAACGTGAGTCTAGGTGCTGCTCAGCAAGGAGTACCTGACTTGCTGAGGCTATCCTAGGATGCGGCTTGGATGGAGTTCCGAGTTGGGGGAGACAAGTTTTCAGGGAATCCTCTGGGCAGAGTGACCTCTGTTATCCAGTTTGATGACATCACGGCTATGGGAGTGCTGTGTCCACGCACTGGGAAGGGGGAGAGCTCAACAGGGAACAATGGATACTGCTGGCACTTCTCTACAGAGCGAGTCTTGCCTCGGCCCTCACTCAATGTTTCCCTGTAGGTCCCTGGTGCCACTGTGCTCAGAGCCAGCAAGTCTGTCACTGCAAAAATTCGCTCAGGAACGCAGCCCCTTTAAGAGGCTTCTGCCTCTGCTGCTGCTGCAGCCTCCATCTCACTCAGTTGCTTGGTACCAGGCAGCCCCACGTCTTCGTCCCATCCTACCTTCTGTTGTTGCAGGGTGCTTTCTTGGACTTCCTAGGTATATGGCTTGTTCTTCAAGTTCCCAGGCAATTTTTCCTTACTGCTGCTCTTTGTTTCTGTCACAACTTTGATTTGGTCTCCAGAGAGATGAACAGAGCCTCTATCATCTACACCAATTTTTTTTTCTCTCCTCAATATTAATTATTAAAATTACTAATTCAGGCATTCTACATGAGTTCTTTTCCAGGTTTCCTGTTACTACTAGTAAAAGGAAAAGCATTTGAAGCTCTTGATTTGAAAATTATAACCTAGATTACCACTATAGAAGCAGTACCCAACTTTATACTTACGATAAATTGTCCTATATGGCTATGTGCTTTGAATCATTACTTGTAAAATATTTTATCTCCTCTGTAGAACAGTAAGCTTCTGGAAGGCAGAGCTAATATCGTATTAAACTTACTAACTCTCACAATATTTCCTCAGTGCCAGGTTCAGAGTAGACCCTTCAGAGCAAGGTTTGTATACCAAATGTATGACCAATGCCACCATTTCCTGTTCAGAAACACACTTTCAAGTGATGTGCCAACAATCTCTTACAAATATGGGAAAGTAGGCTAATAACACCTGAAATACATTTAAATCAGCCCAAACATTTACTTAAGATCCATGAAAATTCATTTCATTTCTCTAATTTTCTTAAGGCTTCACTCATGTTCTTGGTTGTTATCTGCCTTTGGCATTTGATTTTACTAAATGACAACTTACCAAAGGCTCTTTTTTTTTTTTTTTTTTTTTGGTTTGATTTTTTGTTTGCAGCACCACTCAGACCCCCATTTCTATTCTTCTACTCTTCCTGTCGGTCTTGTAAGCATAATCTGTTAGTGATAACAAGTCTGTCTGCATAGAAAGACCTGGGAGATAGGAGAGCCAGGGTCTATATTTAGCCTTCTACTCCAGTGAAGTCAATGAGAAGAGGAGAAAGTCATTGAATAATCAAGGCACAGATGACTGAGGCTGTTTAATTGCTTGGCAGATAGAAGAGACAAGGTCAACATGACTCCTATCCATGAGAAATGTCTGCAGAAAGGAAAAGGGTCATTTCAGGAATGGGCTGCCTCAGAGAAATAGCCAAGGTTCTAGTAAACAGATATTTAATATTCTTCCTTGATCTTGGAGAAGCAAAGGGTGACTTAAGGACACAGACACAGTGGTTTTGTCTCCCAGTCTTTGAATTAGTTACCCTAGACAACTGATTGTCTAGGACATCTCATCCACAAAGTGGATGCAATGAACATTGCCTATCTCTTTGCTCCTGGGTGCTTTTTCACAGTTGGAATCACTGTAATGCAGAGAAATCTCATGGTTTAAACATGAAGTCTCATGAATTTACAAGAGGAATGGTGCTATGTGAATTTATCACTAATCTGTGACTGGATTCCTGAACCTGGACTTTGCTAAGCTTTTACATGTCATTGCCTCTTAATACTGTTCTGTTCTCTGCCTGGAAAACTCATTCCTCAACTGTCTATTGAAAATACACTGTATTCTATTCCCTTCCTCATGCTCAATTTTCATCATAGCACATATCATTTTATGTATGTATTTGGGAATTGCCGTTCTCTACTCATCATAGTATAAGCTCCAGGAGAGCAGTCTTTGGTATTTTGTTCCGTGCTGTATCCACAATGCCCAAGACATTTAGTAAATATTTGTTGAATAAATGAACGTGCCATTTTTTAAACATAATTAGACATATATTGAATGTGCCCATTTTTTAAACATAATTAGACATATAGTACATACACTGTTTGGCACATTATTAAAATTCTTCACTTAAAATACAATGTATCTTGAGGAATGTTTCAAATTAGTAAATACAGTTTCTCTGTGTTATTTTTAACAGCTGAATAGTGTTGCATTAGATGAATGTAGCATCTTTTATTTCACCAATTCTTATGATGAGCTTCTAAGGTGTTTCCAAATTTTTGCTCTTAGAAAAAATGCTGCAAAAGGCATTCTTGTCAATTTGTCTTGGGTGACATTTGTGCCAATACCTATGTGATAATATCTAGAAGAGGAATTGCTGGGTCAAAGGGTATATGCGTGTAAAAAATCTTTGGTAGCTAGTACCAAATTATTTTTCTCAAGAAGATAAACCTATTTACATTCCCACAGTACTGTATGAGAGATACAGCTTACCCACAACCTGGCCAACACAAATTTTCATCAAACTATTTTTTTTATCTTTACTGCTCTAATTGATGAAAAAATGGTGCTGCATATCATTGTTTTAATTAGTATTTAATTATGAATGGGGCTGATGTACTTCTCATTTAAAAAACATTTATATTTCTCTTTCTGCCAACTGACTGTACATATTTGCCATTTTTGGATAGTGTTTTTTTAACTTGTAAAATTTCTTGGTATATCAAGAGTTATTAGCTCCTTGTCTCTCATATGTTGCAGATAGTTTCTAAATGTGTTATTTGTTTTTGTGTAAATAATTGAATGTTATTTGGTCAGACCTGTCAGTCTTTTCTAGAACAGCTTCTGCTGATCTTGCGCTTAGAACAAGTTTTTCTACTTCTAGCTTATTGTTTTCAAAATCCCATGGTTTCCTCTGGTTATTTTTATAAAATATCAGTCCCTACATTTCATATTTGATCCATCTTAACTTTGTTTTAGGATAAGAAATGAGGTAGAAATTCACTCTTACTTTGACTGGACCAATCCGTTGTCCATTATCCATTTATTAGATAATCCTTCTTTTCCACTGAATTTTCACATCCATTTCACTCTATTTCTGGATTCTCTCTTCTGATCAATGAAAACACACAATTCTTAAAACAATACACCCCTATCTAACTCATTTTATACACTTAGTAGGAAATACATGATTTATTATTTTTACTATCATTAAAATTATATAATTAAATCAATATGAGTCCCACAAACATAATATGTTAATACCACTTATTTGTGAAGTTTTCCATTTGCAAAAGCCTTTCCATAGATATTCACTCTTTTGATGTTTATAACTGTATATCCATTTTAATAGATTTTGACACTAAAGGTCTAGAAGTTGTGTCTTAATCTGGTTTTCACAACAGGCAAGTGCAATTCAAGATTTCTGATGCCAAGTCTACTGCTTATCCTACTACATTCACCACAGGTGTATGTAGTACATACAATACTTTAACAATGTAAAAATTCAATAATTTAATAATAAAAAGATTATAACTTACA